GGTATGACGCCGCCGGTGATCGATCCACCGATCTTCCGCTCTCCCGGCAGACGCTCTTTCCACGGAGGTGGTCCAAACAATCTGGAAGCGACATCAGGAATGTACACTCACGCATCTCTGATAACCTTAAGTGATGAAACAGGTGAGCATGTCCTGTTCTTACGTTAGAATCCACCGTCAATCAATGTCAAGGTCACGATAACCTTAAGTGATGAAACAGGTGAGCATGTCCTGTTCTTACGTTAGAATCCACCGTCAATCAATGTCAAGGTCACGATAATCTTAAGTGATAAAACAGGTGAGCATGTCCTGTTCTTACGTTAGAATCCACCGTAAATCAATGTCAAGGTCACGATAATCTTAAGTGATGAAACAGGAGAGCATGTCCTGTTCTTACGTTAGCATCCACCGTCAATCAATGTCAAGGTCACGGAAACAGTTACATATCACCGATCCGTAAGTCTTGTCTTGACAAGAATATCAGATGCTGGTTCGAAGACGAGTGAGTTAGGACAGAGGGGCCGATGCAGCAAGCGAGTGCTGCTTATGCGTGGGTGATAATCAAAGCGTGTCAACCCGACATTAAGAGCGAGCTGTGTATGTGTTCTATTTGTTAACGTACACGTCCACACGGTTAAATCGTCGCATTCCACTGAACACGGATGCAATACCATTTTCCAGTCACGTCACGCCGAATGTGCCTGGGGTTTATCAATGGACAACCAGTGCAGTGGCTTTTGTCGTCATCTCTATTGGATATCATGTAATAGCCTCTTTGAATTACCTTATATTACACAGCAGATTGGATTTCTATATGGTGCCCGGGCCACTCAAGGCTGCCTTATAAAGTAATTGTACATGACCTGTATGTTAATAGAATGGCTATATGCATGACTGACGTGTAAATAGTTCATATTATATGCGTCGACACAAGAAACTGTTTCTAATGCAGGGCTTTCACTGCTGGGTGTATTATGATGAGGTCATGTGTTCCTTTCATATATGTAATTAATGCCAGTTAATTACATTGCAATTATATACATAAATTACATATAAATATGAAAATAAATTGGGCAAATGGTTATAAGTGCAAGCTGGGACATTAATGTCTTACATGTACGCGCTGACATGATGAACGTTATATATATATATATATATATATATAGAGAGAGAGAGAGAGAGAGAGAGAGAGGGAGAGAGAGAGAGAGAGAGAGAGAGAGAAAGAGACAGGCAGACAGACAGAGAAATACGTGTCGATTCCCGAATCGAAACAATATGCTAACCCAGAAATATGTACGTAAAAGAATTTAGTGTGAAACCAACAAATGGTATCCAATCAGCACTTGTATTACAAAGTGAACTAGGTTTACAAATCAATACAAATTACTGCAAAGCAATTACAAGGTCAGTACACAATAGAGTGGTAGTACAATATTCATTGGCTGTATGAAATAGGCCTAGGCTGAACACCAGGGTGAAAAGTGATCTTCACACGAAAACTGGTCTTGATGTAATGTCAGATCAAACATGAGATTAGACAGGGACGCGCCTGCTTCACTTATATAGTCTAACCAGCTTCTAGCATTGTATGTACAGTGTCAGATCAGTCCAGTGTCACTTGAACATCACAGAATATTCCACATGTTTTATAACGCTTGACATCCATCCATGATATTCGGGAAGTGTACCGATAATTCGAGCATCTAAATATATAAACTTTCTCACACTGCTTACATTAAATAGTACTACATTCCCGACAACTACTCTTTGTCCAAATACAATGACATGAACTTCTACTGAATCTCAACAGAAACAATGTAATACAGTTACAATCGTTGTTTGACAAAAAAAATGACACTGACCTATAACAATATATACGTCTGATTCGGGTAAAATATGCACCTTGGTTACAAACAAATATGTTGCTTGTATTTTTCAGTTTTAGGCAACTGTTTAATATATTGTGTCCGTTGAGCACATCTGTTATTCAGGAAACGTTCAGAGTAGTGGATGAGCGAGTTGGGTTTAACGCCGCTTTGAACAGTATTCCAGTTATATCACGGCGGGTCAGCTTAATGTAGGAGGAAAGCCCGAAGTAATGCAGGTCTCAGACGTTTACCGCTTTGGTGAAACCCACGAGCACGGGTATGGTGCTGACAAGCCTAGAAACATAATCGGGACCAACCGGGATTCAAACCATATGATAGGTTTCTGGCGTACCCAAGAGAAGCAAATCTACACTGCGAATCGCGTTAGAAAACTAGGTCACTCGTGCCCACAAGTTCTGAGCAAGTGATGGACACTAAAGTTGATCAACGAGCCTTAGATAAGGCATAATGGAACACCGATCTCTTAATATATAGGCCATTGAACGAAACTGCTATATTTGTATGGCCCCAGGACAGAAACTAAATACAGCAATCAGATTTCAGTCTGAATCTTATAGAGTTTGAGAGATCCGAACATGGCCCATCCTACATATAAACAATTCTTGTGAGTTAAAATAAATGAGTTCTGAGTTGGTGGTGACCGTTCAAGTACTACATGCGCCAGTTCGGGTTACCCATCGGTTAACAATGGCACAGGCATCGTTGAAACATATCTGACGAAAGTGTAAAACTTAGCCTAGCTTTCTGTCAACAGTGACTTTGATGCCTCTCGCGAATGCACTGATAAAGTTGTTAAATACAATCACCACCGCCGAAGAATAGTACTCAATCACTTTATAAGACGGAAATAAAGACTCCTCAAATACAAGCTTTATTTGGATGTGAAGTATTTACACAAAGAAGTAAATTCATTAATATAGTCCGCCCTAATAACCGACCAGAAACTGTTATGAAATGATATTACGTGAATTCCAGACCTATCTTTTTTAATAACCCAACATTTTTCGACAGTATACATGATTCATAAATATATTTTGCAACTGGATGGCGCCAAACTTCAATACATGAAACAATATATCCCGTCATAACATTGTTATAATGTAAAGAATTAACGAGGCAACGCGGTTTGATTAATAGGTTCGTGGATAACATAGCGACTCTATTCGATCAACATTTCAAAATTAATACACAATAAACACAACAAAGCCCTTTTCCATAAATACAAGAAATCTCTGCCAAAAGCAAAGTCCGATTCCGACTATATCACAAGCATGTGTTTATGACTCACTATCAAAAGGTGATGATACCAGGTATTCACGAAAAGGTGAGCATATCCTGCCCCACCGGTGGCACACGTCACATCTATGTATGTCAGTGAATCGTCTTCATCGTGATACATCGCTAACCTTGCAGAGCGGGCATTGAGTCACCATGCATTGTCATCACCGAAGCAGATTCTTCTTTTAATCATGATGCGGTATCCCATGATCAACTTGTCATTAAATATGCATATGTCTTGAGAACGGAATACCAATTTAACAGGTTGCCAATATCTAATGAATTACAATCTGTGATATGATGACGTCATTCTAAACTGATGACGTCATGATGTACGTGATTCATTGTTTTATTTATAAAGATAATTACATAATTATCTCCTTTTAATATTAGCCATGCAAATCAATGTTTAACCAAATACAGTTTGAACCTTTTTTTAACAATGTTTGGTTCTTTGTGTCTGGAAATAGAAGACTTTACTTGACCGACATGTTATGACAGCCTTATCTTATGAAATATGAGAAGCATTATTTAATGACCCAAATTTAGGGTATGACACAGGTCACATGACCTTGACATATGTGATAACTGTTATACATGATAGAGGAGAATCGGATATAGCTGTTGTTTGAAAACAGAAAGACAACGGGAAGTATGAGCAGGGTGTCCTCTGTACCAGGATAAAGTTGTTTCATGTACTTAGTGACTCATGTGTACATTTGAAACAAACCACTTGTCACTGGAAACCCTATTTTAAACTCTATCCGTGATATGTCTTACGTATACACGGTAACAAGTAATATTCCATACGCGTCATGCCATACTAAGCTGAATACTGTGATAATATTGTGTGGGTATACATTATTGAAATACATATTAAGTTAACCAGTGCGAGTTTAGCAATAACTTACTGGGATGTATTGGGTGGTTCCATACTTATATTTTACACATATATCTCGTGCATGTCATCTGTTTCATGGGTTAAGTATCAGGATCCGATTAAAGGAATGGCCAGTGGGATACGAGTAAAAGGCAATTAGGAGACTATAAAACAGGATCAATAGTTATTGAACATGCACACCCACGTACGTCAGTCGCTTCTGTGTCACCTGGTTTAGATAGATCACAAGAATGTGGAATTCTGATAAAATATAACTGCATTCTTAACACCCTTTATCTATCACAAAAATCATGTGGATGCTTGGATGGACAGACTGCACCATTTACACCCAACACCCACCCTGAAATGTGCTGAATGAGTCTATTTATCTGTAATATAATATTCATGCAGTTGGTAGTACGAAATTGGTTTCAAATACACACAGAATGTGAGGTATTCTCATACCAGCTCACCCCTATATTTGAGACCCGAACACTAGCCTCAATTCTAATGTAAAATGTATGTGAATCGGTTGTTGCTTAGTAACAGGTGCTTTTTAAAGATACTAATAGTACTGTTAAACTTTAACAGAATCTCAAATAGACGTTAGTAACCATTATAACCACATGAATCAATATTAAAATAAATAGTTCCTCAAATTAAACACGCATTTTCTGATATACCTACATCATTAAATGTATTATTTACAATGTACAGATAGTCACGGTATAACGAGGATATTGCCCGATAACACTCCTACGACATAATGTTATATACACAATTTGCACCTACATCAATACAGACGGTCTCGTATTCACGTTATAACGAAATCTTAGGAGAATAACACAATTTGTGTCTATGTTTGTGTGGAGGTTTAATCGTGCACATGTATACAACATTTACACACCAACTTTTCAGTTACAAAACTTAAATCGGAGGAGTGACTGACCTACCTCTACCATCTGTCAAAGCCGCGCCTGGGACAACAGCTTCAGTCTAGGCTGCAGTCCGTGTCGTCTGCTTCACAGTCGCTCAATCCAGCACGTTGCCTTCGTAATGATTTCACAGACGAGTTTGAAACTACATAACCGTTGGTGATAGAGCACATGCCCTTCAACCTTACAACCTCCGGCTGTACGTTATGCACAATATACACTATCTGTAAGAGCCCGGATGCTGTGTATATATATACCGCTGACACTCACTGGCTGGGACTTAATTGAAACGCGGATAAAATACATGCAGTGTTTCATTTATACTCATTAAATATGGAAATTAGACGTCTGAGAGTTTGGATATTGCTTCATTCATTTCCCTGTCGCTGGCTCACGTATTTCCTTGTCGCCTAGCACGAAATACGACAGAAGTGTTGCGGCGGCGGTTTGTAATATACAAGACATAGTCCAACCACTGACTTGCCCGTTTTGCTAAGTCAAACAAGTGACCCGAATGTCATGACTTGGGAGGAATGCACAGCAGACCATCGCACACGGTGATCGGTTTAAGAACTTGGAAAAAAATTATAGGTCATATGGCGAGACTTTGAGTTGTCTGTGTTTGAGTTTTTGTCTCGTGCAACGAGCAGACGATATCAGCAACCAGACGTCAACTTAGGTCACGTGAGTTCGTCGTGACCTAGTCGCGCGACAGATAATCCCATCCCATGTCGGCCCAGTTGGCCCGAAACAATGTCTTGCGAGGTTTGGGTTGGAACTTGGAAATGTAGTAATTAGCTCCAGGGTTTCAGTTTGTTTTCATTGCAAGGTCAAGATGTTCTGTCCATGAACCTTTAAAGCCTAATCATGACTTTAAAATTAATTACTTTTTAATCTGATACTGCCTGAAATCTTCAGCTGTATCAATCATGTATAATTTATTATTATTAATTGATTTAAACTGCAGTTACGTGATCCCCCAACGGTAGTTTTGTGAAAATTAATGTTGCGATTCATGATTTATATGCATTGAAGGTATTCAAAGTTATTAAAAGCATATAAATATATTTTCTTAATAATATGTGCCCTATATATCAACTATCTCTATCGAATTAGGCCACCTCCTTTATCATAAGATTTATCACAACGAAGTGTCAATAACAATTTTGTCATTAAGTTGGTGTAAAGGCCGGGAGATTGATATAATAACGAATCTGCTTTAGCCGTGAGAGTATTCATGGCACAGACGTTTTACAAGATCCATACCTAAGACAAGTAAGTGTTTGTAAACCGAAGTGTTGCACTCTCATACATCGTTGATGTATCGCTAAAGTTGCTGTTCATACCATTAAACCTCGCTATAACGCCTCTCATAGTAAAGAGTGTGCCGCAAGTTGTTTTTGGCGACGATCCTGTGGCTGAAGAAAGAGTTAAAATATTGTTTTCTTTAGAAAATAAATGTATTTGCAATTCTGCCGAACGAATACTAATTCTGTTAAGAAGACCTAAACATGTAATACACAAAAGGGCTACATTACCATACATTGTGGACAAACGTTTGCGTTATACCGGGGATATGCTTGCAACTTTGGAAATAGAAGATGGGATACGACTCCTGTAATTATTAGGTATATAGTGTGCTTCATTCAACGCGTCTCCAAAATCTGGTTAATTACAACACCTGTCGAGCTGGGGAGAACCACGCATGATCTAAACCAACAGGACAAATTGCATGACGTTTTTCGACAGCTTAGTATTTATGCCTTTGAAGATGTGTAGTACGAAAATGCTTAAACGAAACTAGTCGTGAAACAGATTTCCCGTCTCCGCACGTCAGGCGGTCTCCGCCCGAGTCACTCTCGTCTGCTTCAAGTTGACCTTGACGAAACGAATTGCTTAATTTCGAGTTAGGCTCGTAAAATTGCCAAAGCTCATTTCAACTGTATGTGGATGTGGTGGCGTCGTGCTCCATCCTTCCTGGTGTGAGATTGAGTCGAGAGATGAACGACTGCCACGTGCCGTTAACACCAGCTAGAACGAGACTCTCGTGGAAAATTCACTGGGGTGAACTCAGTTGTACTCTGCTGAAAATATTTTGTGAAAAGCATATTATGTGATGTTGTGCCAGACATTAAATGTGTGTTGTTACGAACTCTCGACATATTTGGAACTTATGTGAGTGAGTGAGTTGGGTTTAACGCCGCTTTTAAGAGTATTCCAGTTATATCACGGCGTGTCAGCTTAATGTGGGAGGAAAGCCCGAAGTGATGCAGGTCTCGGACGTGTACCACTTCGGTGAAACCCACGAGCACGGATATGTTGCTGACAAACCGAGAAACATAATCGGGGCGAACCGGGATTCGAACCCACAATCATAGGTTTCTGGCGTGCCCAAGGGACACAACTCTGCACAGCGAATCGCGGCGCCTTAGACGACTGGGCCACACGTGCCCCATTGGAACTTATGAATCACATAGTGTGGATAAACGTTTGCGTAATATAACGGTGTTGCTTTGCACATGTTGCTGTGGGAGTACAACGCATGATACGACTCCAATTATTATCATGTATAAAATTGTTATGGGACCGCCTCCGTGGTCTAGTCAGTGGTAGAGCGTCCGCCCGGAAGCCGGAAGGTCCGGGGTTCGATCCCCGGCCGCGTCATATCAAAAGACATTAAAATATGGTACTTGTTACCCTGTCTGGCGCTCTGCATTAACGGGCTAAAACAAGGACTGGTCGGTTCGGAGTCAGTATACTGTGTCTAAGTTGGTTATACATGTTAAACTGCGACATAGTATCTCAGTGAGCTAGCACTAGAAATCGGCATCAGTCCGGACTAGTACAAGCAGACAGACAGACAGACAGACAGAGACACAGACACACACAGAGACAGACACAGACAGACAGACAGACACACACAGACACACAGACACACACGCAAGCAATAATCTTGGACGCGACGTTAAAACCCATTTCACCTCACCTGTAATTGTGATGTATATAAATGGAACGTTTTGATTTCATCTCGAACACACACGGTGACACTGAATCAGCAGTCGATTCTAACCTGACCTCTGACAAGTGAGTAAGTGTGGACGTATGCCACTTCAAGCAACAATCGGCTTCACATTCCGGTTTCGAACACAGTTCCTTGGCGTGAGATACCATCGTTTTAGCAAGGATGATTGTTTCTTAACGCATTCCCAGAGCTGTGAAACTGAATTGTCTGTATGAATCTGATGAAAAACAGTCAGATCCTTCCAGTGAGTGAGTGAATTCATTACATCAAAGGACAGTGTATGTGAACCTCTTGGTCTGAAAACATTAAATAGTGTGCACAAGTGAGAGCTAGCATTTTGCTTGTCAAACCTTCTAAGCTATTAAACCAAGTCTAGCGGTGTCAGAAACTACGTGTGTAACAGTCCGTGCTAAGTCGCTTTGGAGGCTTTGGCTTAATATTTTAAACATGAACACGTCTTCTACCGTGAACATGGTGTCCTGAAACTTCTAAATGTGCCAATTTTGATGGTCCAGTAAGGACCAAAATTATGGCATAGATATTATACATTTTGATTTATATAGGACTGATGTTAATTCCCAAATGAATCTTAGTCATGCAAATCCCCGAGGCCGGAATGGAGTTTTCACCGCAACACCTAGGCGTATAGAAGAATTGAGAAACCCTAGGATTACTTCCAGAGTTTGAAGCAATAACCATACCTCAGGTTTAGTCTCAGCTAAACATCCTAGATAACCTTGTTTCAGATACAGACCTGACTTTGCCTTTCATCTCGCATTGTAAGCAGCGTTTCTTTGGACTTAATGCACATTATTTCTAAGAGTTAAAAGATGCGCTCAAACGAGATGGAGGGAAGAGAAAGAAATGATCACAGTTTGATCCACGTGACGCGATACAGCTACAGGCAAAGTCACGCCGACCTTCTTCCGTGTTAAGCGGCTTAACCGATATCTTGTAGAAACAGGAAGGAATTTTGCACAATGCTTTTCGTGAGTATTCATCATACAACACGTATAATCCATATCTCTGTGGCCATTGAAGATTCGGGGTGGAATATGTCTTCAGCAACCAATGCTTGCCGTCAAAGGCGACTATGCTTGTCGTAAGAGGCGACTAACGGGATCGGTTGGTCAGGTTCGCTGACTTGGATGATGCATGTCATCGATCGCATTTGCGTGGATCAATGCTCATGTTGTCAATCACTGGATTGTCTGGTCCTGGCCGCCGTCACATAGCTGGAATATTGCTGAGTGCGCCGTTACACAACAAACAAACAAACAAAACGATCAAAGCATTTGGATACGATGACATGCATCAACCAAGTAAGCAAGCCTGACCACGCGATCCCGTTACTCGCCTCTTACGACAAGCATAGTCGCCTTTTACGGCAATCATGGGTTGCCTAAGAAGTATTCTACCCCGGATCTTCACGGGTTGGAACAGAAGTGGAAAGTGAATTTATTCAGAACATTTTAAAATTAATGACTTATTTCCTCCGTTGAAGTGGAGCTTATTAAAGGAACTAAGTTGTTTTGCAGTCGGACATATTCCACGTCCAAATCAAATATTTTTATATACACGAAATTTCATTTCTTCGATGAACAGACATATATGTGTTATTATTTTAAAATTAATCGGAAATTATATACATTTGTCTCAGAAAAAAGTAATCTTGTGAAATCTGTTACTAAGCAATATACACATCTGTATTGCTCTAACTGTCCATTCCTGATTCCCTGTAAGCGTTGTCATAAAACAATATATGTAGTTATATGAGTGAGTGAGTTAGGTTTAACGCCGCTTTTAACAATATTACAATTATATCACTGCGTGTCAGCTTAATGTGGGAGGAAGCGATGCAGGTTTCAGACGTTTACCACTTGGGTGAAACCCACGAGCACGGGTATTGTGCTGACAAACCTAGAAACATAATCGGGGCGAACCGGGATTCGAACCAACAATCATAGGTTTCTGGCGTTCCCAAGGGACGCAACTCTGCTCAGCGAATCGCGGCGCCTTAGACGACTGGACCACCCGTGCCCCGTAGTTATATGAGTGAGTGAGTTAGTGAGTATGTTTTACGCCGCTTTTAGCAATATTCCAGCAATATCACGGCCCAGAAATGGGCTTCACACTTTGTACCCATGTCGGGAACCGAACCCGGGTCTTCGGCGTGACGAGCGAACGCCTTAACCCCTAGGCTACCCGACGGCCCCCGTAGTTATATGAACACACTACAAACGTCATCGTGGGATTACAGTGCAGACGCATACTATTCTGTACAAAGTAAACATCGAAATAAGAGAATAGAACAACATGTTAAGAATCCAAGAAGAAATGCCACGTATGACTAGATTAAGGTCTCCAAGTACACACACCAGTTAGGATAGGATAAGATTTATTCCATACTGAAAGGCCTCAGGCCCATAGTACAATTCTGTTTTCGGGAATGGTTACAGATCCGTTTAACAGGTCATATTCTAATTAACATAGCATAATAAATGAACATTGATATATTTTTTAGGGTATCTT